ACGTCTATAAAGATAGTCGTGGTGCTAGGTGCCATCTCTCCCCAAGACATGTTTCTTTGATGCAATTGTTTACCATCAAAAATAAAATCTAAATAATTAATTTTAAAATATATTTAACTATGTTGCTTAAAAGAGACATCCATAATCTGAAATAAATTTTAGTACATATAAATAAAAATAAAAGTTGGTAAAAAGGAGTAAAGAAGTGTTGTGCAAAAGTAATTGTTAGCCAGGTTTTGGTCATAAAGTAATTACTCTAACCTTTTTAGCGTCTGATGATTCCCTTTAGATGAATGGATTGAAATAATTAGTATGGCAAGACTAATTGAGTTGCTAAAGTTTCCAAATCATGTCTTAAAAGAAATCAACGATCTTGTAAGAATCTGATCAATTTTATCTGTTCTTGAATATGTTTGTCTCTCTTCTAAATAAATGATTCTTCAACACTTTGCATCACCGGTTAAGCATTTTCTATTACTTGAATCTATCTTTTAGGAAACTACATAAGAACAATACTTTTTTCCTATTCATGCTAATGCTGTAGAAATATGTACATTGTGCTGTGGAGTAAATGTATAGATCATAAGCTATATAGTGACAACTGGATCGAATGATTGTACGAGAAAAAACGATTTTATCTGGCAGGATATATCCACACATAGTTAAGATACTAATTTAAATGTTCAACAAGTGAAGATGAGCAATGAATTATTATGACCAAATATATTTGTTATGAAGCAAACACATTAATCTTCGTTGTAGGTAATGGTTCTAGTGAATTGACATTGTATTTGCTTTCCAATATTAAGCCTATTCAATAAAACAACAGTAGTAGACAATGAGGTACTTGAAACTATTGGGATCAGTGATGCATCAGTTGTTGTATTAGATGCTGACAGTAATTTATACGTCACATATTGGACTAAACATTGTATGAGAGGCTCGAAACTAATTAGTTTTTTGTGTTTAATGGAGTGTTCAGATTTCAATTATTCTCCATTAAATGAATTAATTAATTCGAAACGTCTCAGTTTGGGCAGATATGATAACTTGTTTATCACAGATGTTAGCAATCACCATGTACAATCGCTTACAATGTTCAAAAAAGCATGACTTCTTTGATATTAGAAAAATTTTCTTTTCATCCTTAAATTCTATACGGTAGTATAGGACTCTCAACAAAAGAAAACTTTTTTTTGTCATATTCAAACATTTTTATTGGTTTTTGATCGAACTCTTATGTAGTATGCAGGAATACAAGACCATTTTACAACATTTCAGGCCGATACTTGTATGCGTGTACAGTACCTAGTATGTAACTTCAAGTTATACATTTCTAATTTGTATATCAGATTTCGATCTAGATTGATGCTTTACAAAAACACAATTTTGATGAAAATATCTTTAGCAATATGAACTATCGAGAGATGTAAATGTTTTATTAGAGTGACTAGTCGATGACATGCCCAATGAGTGGATCTTGAATGAGATATCGATGCCAAAAAAAATACACTAGAAATGTGCTTTTTAGACAATAGTGCTTTCAAAAATATTTAGATATCGTAAGAATGAAACAAAGCTTTTTCAATCAGATTGCTGTTGCTATGATCAGCACTATAGTCCTGATGCAGGAAGTAGATGCCATACCAACTAGAGATGTGTCGCATACATTGTTATTTCATTGATAACATTCATGTCCTATGTCTTTTTTCCGTTTACTCTTTATTTAAAGAAACAATTAGACTTGTTCAAGCATCTAACATACATATCAAATTCTCTTTGAGACATTATTGCTTAAAATTTAACTCAAGTCGATCAATTGTATGAATTTGATTCATTTATAGATCTATTTTGTTTTACATTCAACTATTAATCCCTTGTCTAATCATGATTATCAAATGTTTAAATATATGGCAGATAAATTGCTATAGTAGATTAATATAGTGATTCGTTTATTTCCCAATTTTTAAGGATGATTGCACTGAATGATTTAGAATGTAATCATTAAATGCTTTTTAAATCTTACAATTTATTGAATGCTGAATAGTCTCATCATAGATTAATTATACAATACAAATGATATTGATGACAGTATCTCTTCTTGAAATTTATTTTTGAACAGAGATATTTCGAATGTAATAATTCGGAGGGTGAATGTTATATTTTATCCGAACAATCTATTTATTTTCATTTTTTTATTACTTGACTTTTTGTTTGACATGTGTTAAACTTATATTGATTGGTCTCTTCATTAGTGTAGCTGTTATATTTTTTCTTCAATCATCCTATCATTGATCAACGGATAGAAATGAAGATTTCAATTATGTTTTACATTTGCTATTACAGAATGTAAATCTTCTCTTAACTCATAAAAAATTCTTCATTCGTTTATTAAAACACTTTTTCCCCCTTCTTTGCTATTGTAATAATTTGTAAACGATAATGCGAAACAATCGTTAATTTAATTTTTTGAATAATTATTTTTTTTCTATTATCTGATTGAACAAGGTTTTTCTTCCAATTTTCTCACACCTTAGTGTCGAAAAACATATACACGCGTACATCTCTATGCACCTGACTAATCCTCATCTAGATCTATCTTGTCATTCATTCATCGATCTATATAGACAGAAGAAGAAAATAGTGATTAGACTCATCCTTCTAATTGGTAAGTAGAATAAATGAATGAGTGCATTAAAAGAAGGAGGAAAAGAAATGATCGAATTTCAAAATCTTATTATTTATAATAAAAGCATTCATATAATAATATATAAATAATAGTAGTAGTTAATTTTGAAAAAGAAAAAAAAAATTTATATTCTCAAACGATTGATTGTTAATAGTCGATGATCTTTGATCAAACATCATGTTTATATGGCGCATATCATATTCACATCAAACGATTTTTTGTTCTCTTTGGTGTTAGACGATGATGATGATACTTTGAGATTAGAAAGTCACGTCTCTTCACTTATATATATATATATATTCGTACAGATTAAGAAGAATTGCGATTGAAATTTTTCTATTTCTCGCTCTCTATCTCTCTTTTTTTTTATTTTATTTTATTACAGTCGCGCATCTAAGAGTTGTTACTTATTGAACTAAAGTAAGATCAAGGTAGCGACAATATTCAAGAGCAAACAGAAGCTTTATTATTCAAGGTTAATCATTTTGTCCACTGAACAACGATAAGTATTGTGCACATGTTGATTTTTTTTCCTAAATAGATCAAAGACGATGAATAAAAAATTAATTGAATAGTTTCCTCCCCTTATTCTTAAACATCAAGCAAGTCAATCAATCGAACATGATGTGCAATTGAGATAACGATAACAAAATAAAAATCAATTCAACTATAAATTTATTGATTTATTCACAAAACAAAAAATATCTATGGTTTTTAAAAGTTTTTTTTTACTTCTTCTTCTAATACATATATATATGTTTTATTTTGCTTCTTGTTGTAATTGGAATTAGCCCTCAAGTAAAGCAACAATTGATTGAATGAGTATATTGATGTCTGGACAAACGAAGGGTGTTGATGAAGTGAAGTGACATAGTACAGAAGCTTTGTGCAAATATACACAACCAATCATGTACAAATATCCGTTTTTTTTTTCTCTTTCTTATTGTATGAAAAAAAAATGAATTGATATTTAGAAAGATATGTCTTATAGATTTATAGTTCATATGAAATAATAATCCCTTTGATAGATTTATATATATGATTATTCCAAAGTTTAATACAAAAAAAAATCACTATCGGATTAATTTGATTTCAATCTTTCTTGCAATTATCGTTCGCCCCAGTTGATCATCGATCGACGACACATCATCAATTGTTGTTGTTGTTGCTCGTCTTTGCCCATCGGCCATTGACGCATGTGTCGAGTGGTTAAGAAAACGATGTTTCAAGAATAACACCTATTTTTCTCTCTCTCTTAGTGTTATGACATAATTAAAATTAATCGAATCAATATATTCTTACGGATGAATGATACCCTGAGAAACACAATTCTCATTTGCATAGTTTCAAAAAAAAAAATTCTTATTTTTAGGTTATTTCACATCATCATACAGCTGTTGACTTCGGATGACATGTTAAAACATGGAAAAAGAAAACGAAGTAAAGAACTAGCAGCTTCAAAGGGCAACACATGTTGTTTGAAAATAAATACAACTCAATGATGATGGTGATGATGATGATAAGCACACGAAAATTATTTTTTCATTTTGTTCCAAACAGCATGACGCACTATATATATATACATACATATGTATACTATTGTAAAGAAAATATGCTAATGAAAGAGATCATTAATTTGAAAACTGACGCCAATCAATTGTATAAATTCATTTCTAGCCTTTTCTTTTTAATTTTTTTAAATACTTTATCACATATATATCATATTTTTATTTTACTACATATAACAACAACGAAAAAAAGCCAACAAATATGTCGATATATTTAATAGAACGAACATCATTGGTCTGAAACGTAGGGCAACTACCCAATTGATGATAGATCATGTTTCTTTTCGACAATAATCATAATCGTTCACGACGAAAAGAAAAGAGAAGAAGAGAACTATAATTGCCTTTAAATCGTTTCTATGTCTCTTTTAGGTACACATATCCAATCATTGTAAAGCTTGATACATTGTCTATTGCCTCAGGTGTCATTTGATAGGACGAAGAAGAAGAAGGTAATTCAGCACAAATTAATTCACATTCTCTCTATATAAGTGCACCAGATCGAAATAAAAAAAAAAAAGAAATGAGAAGAGAAGAGAGAGAAGAGAAGAAGAAAAAAAAAGATATTTTTCTATTGCTTTTGCTGTTGTGTTATTCTACTAAATCAGCGAGTCAATATTAGACGAGAGAAAAAGAAATTGATAAAACATTCTAACGGAAGATCGAACATAATTGAATTAAAGTGCGAGAGTAAAACGTGTTGATCAATTGAACAAAAAAAAACAAAAGAAAAATTAAATATCATGCCGGTTCATCGTCCATCACGACCAATGGCTACAACATCAAATTCTCGAAAATCAATTGGATTTTCAATAAATGATATTATTAAAAATGATGATACATCGAAAAATTCTCCTCGACATAATCCTCCAACAATTCCATCTTATTTACCTCCAACATCATGGATACCACCACCAACTAATTTAGATCCTATTGTTCAATATCAACTGCAATATCTTCGAAATAGTGGTCGATTATTTGATGGAAGATTTACTAGTAAATGTTTTTATTTTTTATTTATTTTTGTGTTTCAAATTAAATTAATTTTTGTTTTTTGTAATTATTACTCATAGGTCCAGAAGCAGCTGCAGCACTTATACTTCATTCATTTCGTAAACCAAAACGTGTACGTACAGCATTTACACCAGCTCAATTACTTAAACTTGAAAATGCATTTGAAAAAAATCATTATGTTGTTGGACAAGAACGTAAAGAATTAGCACGACATTTAAATTTAACTGAAACTCAAGTAAGTCATCAATTAGAAAAACGGATATGTTATAGTAAAGAAATTCCGGTATTTGCTTAAGGAAATACACTAAAATGATGACGGTTTCCTCCGGAGAAGACGAAGAAGAAAAAAACTGATAGATTAGTAAAAATAACAACTTAAAATTGATTGATGAATTCCGAACGCTAGAAAAAATAAAATATATTTTAGGTTAAAGTATGGTATCAAAATCGTCGTACTAAACATAAACGTTTAAAATCAGAAGATGGAAATAATAGTTCAAATGATATAAATGATGATGAACAACAAGATGAATCAATTGAACATGAACATAATCAACAAAATCAATCGGATACATCTGATATAACTAATAAAAATGATGATGAACATTCATGGGATAATAATAATCAACATTATCAATTTATTTCTCAATCATCTACACCACGTTCATCGGGTTCCGATCGATATTATTTACATCTTGCTGCTGCAGCTGCTGCTGTTGCTGTAAAAAATGATTCATCAGATGATCATCGATAATAAATTTTTTGTTCTTTTTCCCTTGTTTTAAATCGATAGAGACATAACCGAAATGAGACAAACAAACAAAACCCGGTCTAATCTCTATCTTATTCGACATTCCATTTGTTTCCTTTTGCTTTTCTGCATGTATAAATAACTTCATGGTTTTTTTTTTCTTCTGTTTTGTGTAATATTGGAATTTTGGCCTCGTTTTTTTTTGTTTCAAGAGAAATTCGAATAATTATACATGGAAAACAATTTGATGAAAACTAGAAATCATAACTGGTCTTTTGAACTATATTGAAGATTTTTGTTATCGTCTTACGATTAGAGGTATGTTCGAAAGATGAAAAGTCAAGATTGATCATTATGAGAGATTGATTTGAGATCATATAGTTCAATGTATTCTTGATATACATAAAATGATCTATTCACTGTTTTAATAAGAAAAAAAATAGGATCATATTCGAATAGTTTTCGACTGTCTAATGGAAAATAGCATGCAAAATGTGCTAGATAATTATTGAGAATCACTCAAAATTTTCATAGACATGGCATTCTAAGTGGATGGAGTTAACCTAACCCATTGTACTTGCTGATTGAGATCTATGAATATTCAAGATAATGATGCATAATATTGTTTCATGTTAAGCAACATATTCGACGTTTTTTTATCAAATATCATTGGAGTATTTTAATTCTAATCATATGAAATCATTGGCAATGTCTTATTATAAGGTGCATTGAAGTATTGAAAGAATACAAAACATGATTTTGTTCATTGGCTATTTTATTGTATGCATATACATAAGTCGATCAAAGTTATCTGTTTGGTTCATTCTTATCTTTATTATTTTTTTCTTTTTGTATCTTTAATAATAACTATTTGTTATCAATGTTTGAAGCAAATAGGAAAGAAAGAAAGAATCTAGAAGAATAAAAATCCAAAAGACAACAACGTATATTGACGTTAATGTATGGTAAAAGAAAGTATTTATTGTACGTTGAAACATAAGACATTGATTACTTTAATTTTACACCGTCACAATAAACGAAGAACAAAAAAAAACGGATTTATATATTTTATTATGTTATTTGAACAAGAATATATCAATAATTTCTTAAGAAACTCAACCGAAATCTTTCTTTTATTAAATAAGAATTGCAATGCATGTTTAACTGTTACAGTGAAATGATTAATATTTCACGAAAAAATGACTTATATTTGTTACAGAATTTTTTAACTTCTATTCAATTTTCTGATGGTATAGATTTAATTGATTAGAAATATAAAATAAAAAACAAAGATAATAACTTAGAATAGCTTTTAATATGTATTAATGAATGCTAAATTTAGTAATAAAAACTCTAACTTTCCTATAGACATGAATAATATTATGCTATACCTTCAAGCAATTTACTTAATATTAAATGTATTTCTTTGCTCGTTCTATGTTCATATATTAAGGATCAATCTTTACCCTTTGTCAAAATTATTTATGAATAAAATGATTTTTTTTTTAGGAAGCCAGAAGTTATTTAATTCTTTTTCTTCACATGGTTATTTGAGTGATCATTTGTAGAATGCTTTCAGAAAATAAATGGAACATGGAGTTGAAAAGCTTTGCAAACATGTCTTGTAGTAAACTTGATAAACTATCAATCGATCAAACAAAAGTTTTCTTTTTGCCTTATTGCACCTCCGAAAAGGTAAATTACTAAATCAATAAGTCTGAAAAAAACAAAAAAGATGGCTTTTTTTAAATAAATTGTTTTACTACTAACAGAGAAGATATTACGTAATATATAACGATGATCATTATCGTTACTACTGATATCAATATCATTCAAAAGTTTTACAAAAAAAAAACTAGTTAGATAAGATATAATAAGATACAGAATGGTTACTATAGGATTTTTAGAAAACCAAATCTTTAGCTGTCCAATGCCTATAATTCTAGTATGGAATTTGCCATCGGCTAGAGATGTGAAAGGTAGGGCGAGATAACTGTCTATATCTCTAAAGTTAAAAATGACAATTCACTGAGGTTTCCTTTGCTATGGGTAAAATGAATTTTTCGAATGCATCGTCTAAAAAAAATAAAATATCGCTGATATTCACTATTGTTCAATGTCCAACACATAGTTAAACTACAGTGGCGTTTCTTTTTCGTTCAATTAAATCACTTGAATCTTGTGCGATTTCAATGAACAAAAAGTATCGATCTCGTACAGTATTAACTTATTATTACAACAATGACAATCTCATCATGGAAGAGACAGTGTTTACTGATACAGCCTTTCGCACAAGCACCCATAACTATTCCGTTTCTAACTGTCAACGATGATCAGAAAAATCGACTATCCATCCTATCACTGATGACAAAGAAAAAAATGGGAGGTTTTCGAGGAGAACACTGAATGAGATTTACAGATACAGAAGAATTAAGAAATATTCACCAGTCTAAAAACGCAGAGTTCATTAGTTGAAACCGATTTTTCCACTTGCTGTCGATTCTTCAATCATCATACGACTTAATTGACAAAGAAGAATTCGTCAACACTGATCATCACTTTTTCTGTTACACTTGTTCATTTTCTGGACACATCGACTAAATAGTTATTTTATTCGGATATTAATTCGAAAGTGCTTCATTTCAACTGGGTTCGTACAAATGTTGGTTGTGCCATTTGTGAAAACCAAATGTGATGGAGACATGAATCATATGTCACAACCGTCGTCTATTTACCATTATTGCTGCTCAAACTTCGACTATTAACTTTCTTTTTCTCTTTTTGTTTCGTTTTCCTACAAAATCTGGATCCACATTTTCATCATGAAAGAAATAAATTCAAGCACTTCCTTCTTCTTTCATTAACAATTATAGTATTTTCTTTTCAATTCTCACATTTTCAAGTGAACATTTCTGCAAGACTTGAAGATTCTAATGTTGATGATAATCATCTTAGGCGATGTGGTGGAACTTTAATTAGGTAGAAACTCTCATGGTGATGAAATTATTTAGTTATTTCGACTGCCATTGTGAAGATATGAGCGCTAGTGTGGGTGTTATTGAAGATAAGATTGAAATCCACAATCACGCCAACACTCGTGCCACAATGTTACAATATATTGAGTTCCTTGATAGTTTCGTGCTTGGCACTTTTGCGACGAATATTCACCACGAGATTTCTAGATCATTGTCATTTACGTTCACAACAGCACTCCAGAACAAAGACCTTTTCTCTGCTTAATAACTACCAATGTTTACGAATAGCAAATTTGACTTTAGTCGGTGATTTTAATAAACTGACGCGATGCCACTTATTCTTTTCAAATGATAGAAAACCAGAAAAATCTCAATCACAATTCTAGTTCTCAATTATTGTTTACTGTATATCAATAATTTTCATTCTCTGACCAATCAAAGTTTAACTTCTCTTCGAAGTTTACCTATCTAACAGAAGAATTTTTTATATCGTCGATGTTCAAATAATGTGCTCAAAATGTTTCAAATCTGCAAGAAGACAGAAACATATACATAATATCAAAATATTCGGAATAGAATGCTTTGATAGAAAGCGATGAAAAATAACTTGATTCGGTTTGATTCATGATGATCTGCTAATCAATATAAGATCCTTTGATATAAAATGACTTTATTATTCAATCACATGTTCAAGATTGCAATAAAACTATTAAAGCAAGGTCAATTCACGAAAATCATCAACTTCTATCAATATTGAACTTTTGTACTCGATGATTTCCACAGTCACTTACGTACAGATTTCCTTCTCCATCAAGCGACAAACCAATGGGACAAGAGAGTTGATTGGATTGACTTCCTTGACCATTTCCACCAACAATGACACTTCCTTGAGTGGCTCCTTGAGACCAACGCATTATTCTATGATTCCAATGATCAGCTACATAGATAGTACCTGACTGATCCACGACAATTTTCCAAGGATTTGATAATTGTGTCAGACTATTTCCTGCACCTTGACCACCAGCTACAACAATGCCTTGTTTCGCACCTTCCATCCACTTCATTACACGATGATTATTGTAATCCGATACGTACAGTGAATGATCTCGATCTATGCATGCGTATATCGGACAATGCAACTGATCAAGACGGTTTCCTGCTTCATTTCCACCTGCAACAACTGTTCCTTGATTTTCTCCCATTCGATATCGTCTAACTTCATGTTTATTGTAATCAGCAACATAAAGAAATCCATTGTCGTCCATAGCCAAGTCAATACTTCCAACATTAGAGATAATCGTTTCTCCATTTGTCCCATTTTGACGAGGCCATCGAACCACTCTTATATTGTAATAATCACATATGATGAAGCTATCTGTTTCTTTATCAATCATCACATCTGTGGGTCCGTTCAACTGATCAGGACGATTTCCTGCTCCATTTCCACCAGCCACAACTCGACCAGTCGTTGCACCACGTTCCCATTCCACAATACGATGGTTGCTGTAATCCGCAATATAGACAGTTTGATCATCATCAACACATAAACCATATGGATTGGAAAGTTGATTCAATCCACTACCGGTTCCATTGCCTCCAGCTACTGTGACAGCATTCTGTATCCATTTTGTGTTGGTATTCACATTTGCAATGCTTAGTAATGGTGCTAAAAGAAAAAACCACTTGTACAGTTGCATTCGATAAATTTACGCCGATGAACAGCGGTATTCTAAGTACAGAACTTCGATCAAGCAAGGAAAAGAACTGTTTTGCCCAGTGCTCCTATAGAACAATGCCTAAATAGTGACTTTGTTGTTTTGGTAATTCGAATGAAAAAAAAACAAATATTGCTATAGAATGATAGTTTACATTCAAGTCCTCAAATTTAGGCTCCAATATTCTCCTCATATCACCATGATCGAAAGCATTTTCATCTTTTCAACAACCTTCGTCAATGCAATTGTCATTATTGTTCATCACAATCGATGAAAAAAAATTGACAACGCCCCTTTTTCGAATAGATAATTATTGAAAACGCTTGAAATAACATCTGTCTTTGAATCGAAATTAATCTGGCAGCTATCATGATTTCCGAACAATGCTCTTTGAAATGAATTCGATCGAACTTTTTCTTCAATTATTTTTCCAAGAAAGACCATCAATTGCATAACCTCATCAGTGTTTTGAAAATACAACCCAAGTTGAAAACTATCAATATAATTTCAATGATGAAATAAAAAAATGTTTTTGTAAAGAACAAGTGATCGACATTATAGTAAATAGTTCACAAAGTTTCTTTCAGTGCTATTATAATAAAACCAATGAGATAAACAGTTTGAATGTGAGAAAAGCGTATAGAAAAATGTTGTCAAATTTTTCTCATCATTCAGAATTTCACAGTTGTAACAAAATTTTTGAAATACTTGACACGAATATTCATTCTCGAAAAAGTGAAAAACAATGAAGCATTTGAGCAAATAACAGTTCATGGAGAAAGTCTTGACACATCACATTTGTGTGCTTTACATCGGATGTCAGCCGACACTGAAGAGAATTGAAGTTTAAATTTCTAATAATGTTCGTTCAAAAAAAATTTCTGCATCACTTATTGAGCGTTGAAAGAAAGAAAGTGTGAGATTTTCTATTTGACTGTGAAAAGTCTTCACTCAATAATATTTAACTAATATTGACCAGTTCATCGTTTGAGATTTTTACATATGTCGCTAGGTATCGCATTTCAAAACTAAACCGTTCTTTGAAAGTTTTTCTGTTAATCAGATGATGTTGATTGGAAACCGAAGATTGCACAATCCTCTTTTTTCGTAGGTTTCAAAAAGAAAACTGATTTTGATGATCATTAAGATTTAAAGAGATACTTTCTTTTTATTCTATTCCCTAGCATCACATTCATTCATTTCTAGTTTCACATTAAAATGTTTAATATCGGGCGTATCAATCTAATTTTGTTTTATATTGGTTATTACGAAACATTCATTGAATATATCACTGCCTTCAATCACTGTTCTTCTATTACAAAGACAAAGAAGAATCATACGTTAGTAGCTGAGAACTGAGGCTTGAGGGGGAAAGAATAATCAGTTTGTACATGAGTTTCGAGTCGATATATTATTTCGTTCCCAACGATCTCGACTATGGAAGAAAAGCTTGGGCGCTTGGCGTCTCATTTCAATGAAGTTGCAGAATGAAACTCTGTGATCTGGGATGTTCTGCAATGAAATGCAATTTTAATAGGCAAAGAGTCGTTTGGGAAAAATGGAAGAAAATGAGATGAAGAAAAACTGTTGCGATAGTTGTAATTTCAATTACGTAAGAGACACTATTTACCTTTCATTCCAAAACGAATTTTATTGATGAATAATGTTGAATCATATTCAATTTTGAAATTTGGTGGATTATTAAGAATGTCTTTCAATCGCTTAAGTTCTTCATTAAAAAACTGAACATCTGGATCAGAAACATCATTTTCTTTCCGACATTGAATGAGTTGTTGTATAAGCTGCTCCAATTTTAAATCAAGATCTGTGACGAACGTAATGACACACGATGAGAGTGCACGACGAGTTTCATTAGCCACTTGTCGAATCTTTTCGATCGATTCACTTTCCCATTTATCGATTTGTTTCATTAATTCATGCTTTTGTGGCTCAGCTTTTCGTTCCTCAACGTCAATTTTGAACTGATTAACTTGATCTTCAACTGTATCTAATTGTTCGCTCAGTTCTTTACGATGCTCAATCACGTGATCTAAGCACAAGTCTTGGGAACATCCACCACATTTTACAGTGTTTTTTGGTTTTTTGCATTTAACACAAGAAATTTTGCCGGTTGCTGTCGCCATGTGTATATATATTGTAGAGAAAAAAAAATAAATGAAAAGAGAATTGATAAAAGGTGATAGCAGCAGCAACGACCCAGTTTGTCTTTTGCTTTATCAACAAAAAAAATAATTGCACCATCAAGTTGTCTCGTTCTATTTTCAGATCTTACCGTTAGAAACATCACAGCCAATCACAATTGCTGTCGATAGTTTACATAAAACAAGAGAAATTTGTATGTTAATTGAATTTCGCTTTAGAATTCTATTGCAATCAAATTCGACTTGTTATTTCTGTATAAGAAGCCCATTCATAGGTTAATTTTCCGGGATCCATTGGTGTTGGAAAAAAAACTTTGGAAAATTTCCATTGATTTCAGACAACTTTGTCAAACTATCATCAATGAAAAAAAAACATGCAATTAAATCTGTTATTTTTTCAGCAATGATTCAAAGAAACCACAATCACTGTTGGATAGAAATGTTGAGTTGATCAACGATCATATTGAGAATTCTGGACATCATTCTTACGAACTGAAATTTATTTCTCATTTCGCACATCCATATTCTATAGTCAAATTCACTGAAGTATTTGAAAGTCTTATCCATCAAATAAATCGACGTGCTATTTTCTTCGATAAACTTCCATCCTCGTCTGACTTAATTGAAAAAGAAACAACTTGACAACACTAATGCCTCATGTTCCTATTACATAAGATTAGTTTCAGTACACCTCAGCTGAATAGATAATTCACTCAAATATTTATTTGAAAGTCTCTAATTTGAACTGGATTCGAATTAATGTCGGTTGTGGAATTCGAGAATATCGTATGAGATAAAGACGTGAACTACTTCTCACAACTATTATTTACTCATTGTTGTTGTTGTTGTTCTAACTCCAACAATCAATTCTTTTTTTCTGTATCTGTATTCTCGTATCGTTACATCCTCTGGATCTATATTCTCCACATGAAAGAATTGAATCCTATCACTTTTTTTTCCGCTCACTTTCTAATTTTGACATTTTCAAATGAATGATTCTTTGAGATTTGCAAATTGTGATGTTGATCATGATCATCTTACTTGATATGCTCGTATTTTGATTAAATATAAATGCTCATTAGCATGAACTCCTTTAGTCGTTTCGAGTTTCATTATGATCATTATCTGTCGAAGTCGACTAAATAATCTGACATATTTCGTCGTGCAATGATGAATCATTTCTTTGATTTTCCCTTTGGATTTCTTTGTTTTATCTTATGAAATTTAGTGAAACATCACGGCTCTCATTTCGAATGAGAAAAAAGAATCAAGTAATCTCCTTTGTTTTCAATGAATTCGGATTTTTGTTCGTGTTCTATCACGAACAGCTACAGAAACAATTATTTTGATTTCATTCGAGCATGTTTGATCACAATGCTCGATCGAAAACTTGTTGGTGCAGCAATGATCGAGTAAGGTGTTTGCTATTATTCATGTATTTAACACTGACTTTAGTAATACGATAAGACTTTCACTGATTTATCAAAAAAGTATGGTAGTTAATGAATCAATATGATCACCAGATTCATTGAAAAGAATGATCAGTAGGAGAAATTTACTTGTATAGTAAGGTCAAAGATATTGACTGACAATCAAATATGAGAAACCGCTCATCTACTTACAATGGAAGTAGACATTCGGATCTATTATACGGGTGCATTCGCTCACTTCCTTCGTGAATCTTCAACATGATATTTCCACAAATTATCCCTTGCATCCAAAATAACAAACCAGAGCAAAAGATCTTTTCGTCGTCTCCATAACTATCAACTTTGGCGAACGGCACACTTGACTTTCGTAGGTGATTTTAATAAACTGACGCGATGCCACTCATTGTTTTCAAATGATAGAAGACCAGAAAAAATCTCAATCGCAATTCTAGTTCTAAATGATTGTTTACTGCATATCAAGAATTTCCATTCTCCGACCAATCAAAGTTTAATTCGTCTTCGAGATTTACCTCCCAGTGAAAAATGTTCCTAAAAGAAAACGGCACAGGACGCGTTCATGAAAACATCGAAACTTGTCTTTTACGTGAAGAACGCGTTCCACAGTTTAGTGAACGCGTTCATAAACGAAAAGAAACGTTCTGAATCTGAAGGAACGTATTCTTTGCTGTTCCACACTATTACAGAATGGTTTCTTCTCAGCTCAAAAACGGTTCTCTATGAATATACAATGCATTCTCAACCGTTTCCTAAAGCAAAAGAATTAGTTTCTGTCAATTCTTTTTAAAACGGTCAGGATAGGGTTCTATCAAAATGAGATCACTTTCTTTGACGTTCTCTAGAAGAACACCTACGAATGAATTCTTTGAACTGATGAACGCATTCCAGACAATCTAAAATCATTCTTAGAAGAAAAGAATGCATTCTCTGCCGTTCTCTAAATTGTTGAAATTTTCATCTGGCATTAAACTCAATTTTGAACCAAAAGTGACAACTCTGGAACACGGCAAGTTGAAAATGACGCAAAAAATGGTGAAATCTCGAGGAATTGTACCTTATAGTCGATAGTTCTGATTTTCAAAAAAAAATTTCGAATAACACTTTGAGCTACGAAAAACTGAAGCACACCGTTGGATAGAGCTCATCGAGTTGGACTAGAATACGACTTCCGGCGAATCATATGTTAACTTCACTTCTCTTCGCGGATTCTTGTAAGAGATGTGAGTCTGAGTGATAACGGTCAAGAAAGCGTTCCACAAAAAAACTTTGACTTTTTTTAAGAAAAGAGAACGTCCCTGAAAAACTGGAACTCATTCCAAAATGGAACGGCGAAGAATACATTCCACTGTTTTTTGGAATGTGTTCTTGACCGTTCCATTTTGAAACGCATTCCAGTTTTTCTGGAACGTTTTCTTTTCTTAAAAAAATCCAAATTTCTTTTTTTAGAACGCGTTCTATGCCGTTTTTTGGAGGAACAGTTTTCACTGGGCTATTTAACAGAAGAATTTCTCATATCGTCGATGTTCAAATAATGTGCTCAAAATGTTTCAAATCTGCAAGAAGACAGAAACATATACATAATATCAAAATATTCGGAATAGAATGCTTTGATAGAAAGCGATGAAAAATAACTTTATTTGGTTTGATTCATGATGATCTGCTAATCAATATAAGATCCTTTGATATAAAATGACTTTATTATTCAATCACATGTTCAAGATTGCAATAAAAATATTAAAGCAAGGTCAATTCACGAAAATCATCAACTTCTATCAATATTGAACTTTTGTATTCGATGATTTTTAAATTCACTGACGTAAAGATTTCCTTCTCGATCAAATGATAAACCAGTGGGATAAGAGAGTTGATTGGATTGACTTCCTTGACCATTTCCACCAACAATGACACTTCCTTGAGTGGCTCCTTGAGACCAACGCATTATTCTATGATTCCAATAATCAGCCACATAAATAGTACCTGACTGATCCACGACAACTCCGAGAGGAGCTGACAATTGCGTAAGTCTATTTCCTGAACCTTGACCACCAGCTACAACAATACCCTGTGGCGCACCTTTCATCCACTTCATCACACGATGATTATTGTGATCCGATACGTAGACGGAATGATCTCGATCGATGAATATGTATCTCGGAGAATGCAACTGATCAAGACGATTTCCTGCTACATTTCCCCCTGCTACAACTGTTCCTCGATTTTCTCCCATTCGATATCGTCTAACTTCATGTTTATCGTAATCAGCAACATAAAGAAATCCGTTGTCGTCCATAGCCAAGTCAATACATCCAACATTAGAGATAATCGTTTCTCCATTTGTCCCATTTTGACGAGGCCATCGAACCACTCTTTTATTGTTATAATCACATATGATGAAGCTATCTCTTTCTTTATCAATCATCACATTTGTGGGTCCGTTCAACTGATCAGGACGGTTTCCTGCTCCATTTCCACCGGCCACAACTCGACCAGTCGTTGCACCACATTCCCATTCCACAATACAATGATTGTTGCAATCCGCAATATAGACAGTTTGATCATCATCAACACACAAACCATATGCACTGGAGAGTAGATTCAATGCACTATCGGTTTCATTTCCTCCAGCTACCGTCACAGCATTCTGTATCCATTTTGTGTTTGTATTCAGATTTACACTATTCAGTAATGGTGCTACAATAAAAAATAATTTCTTCCATTATATTGAATAAATTTATGTGGAAGAGAAGCGATTTTCTGACTGAAATACTTCGATCAAGAAAAAGAAAGAACTGTTTTAGCTTCAGTACTTCTCTCGAACAATACTTGATCATTAACCTTGTTCTGTAGATATTTCGAATGAATAAAAGGCTGAGTTCTCTTTTTGAATAATAATTTAAATTTGAATCATCGAACTTAAACTCAAATGTTCTCTTTATGACATCATGATCGAAAAGAGGGTGGGTGTGAGTGTGGGTACCGCTTTCTTTGAATAGATAGTTGTGGAAAACAATATAATAGATGATGAAAGTGACTACTGACTTTGAATTGAAATCAATTGGACACTGAAGATTTTCTAACCTATGTTGTTATGACATCGATTCAATTGAACTTTTCTTTTCAACTATTTTGTTTCCAAGAAAGAAAGTCCACTGAATATCATCAATACTTTTTTGAAATCGAAACTCAGATTGAAAAATATCAATATGATTTGATTAACGAAATCAGACATATTTTCAGGTGAAAAACGATTAACACACACACACACAAAGATTTAACGAAGTTTCGTTCGATTCAATTTTTATAATATCAACCAGACTAATATTCTTAATATGGGGAAAAAGTTGTAAGAAGCGTTGTCAAGTTTTTCTGATCATTTTTAACTTCACAGATGAGACAAACATTCATTCCCGAAAAAGTGAAGATCAATGACACATTCGAACAGAGAACAGTTCACGAAAAAAATCTTAAAGTGATACATTTTGCTTTTCAACGAGTATCAATCGAGGTTGAAGGGACTCGAGTTTGAATTTTCTTACATCGTCTGAAGAAAATTTCTCCATCATTTCTCTATTGTTATTTTCAATTTATTGAGAGTTTTGAAAGAAAGACAATATGAAATTTTCTATTGGACTATAAAAAGTTTTGACTCAACAGATTTCATTTCGATAAATGTCAAGTCGCGATTAATATCGATGTTGAGATTAACTTAAAAGAACTTGAAAATTTTAGATGATCTTCTGACTATCCTTGGACTCTTTCAAAAATGATTTCTATGGAAATTTAACATGAAAATTCAAAAAGTTGAACATATTTCATTTCAAGCGAAAGAATTCTCAATATACTCACAGTTCAGTTGTTCTTCTCTGATGTGAATGAGTCGATTCCAATCAATTTGATTATTATCAACAATGATTGTTTTATTTGTGTCTTTTTTAATAAATAGTTCAAGTATTTGTTGAATTTCATTGATTTTGTTTTGAAGACGATCAATATCATTTTCAAGAAAATTTTCCTCTTCTCGACGACAACGAATTTCTGTTGTAATTGGTTCAAGTTGTTCTGTTATTCTTGTTCGTTGTTTGTCAATTAGTTCGATAAGTTTATGATGAGCTTGTTCTGCTGCTTGTTCTACTTTGTTAATCGTTGCTTTTTTCCACTGTTCAATTCGTTCAAAAAGATTCCATGATGAATAATTTGATTTTTCTAATCTTTGGATTTGATCAAGAAGTTCATCGTGTGATAAAACTATTTCATTATCGAATTTCATCGATAGCTCTTGTTCATGTTCTTTAAAATCTTTCGGACAAAAGTAGTTTTTACATCCAATACAAAAGTATTTAGTTGAAGATTTATTGCATATTGAACATAAATTTGATTCAATTGCTGTTGCCATTTCTTTTAGAAGAAAATTGGTGGAATTATGTTATTTATTATGAGTTTGTCTCGATCTGAAATGAACTTTTAATCGTGTATAATATAACTCAATAATGTGTTCAATCAAAACATGAGAACAAGAATATATCAATCTTCGATGGAACTATATGCTTACAGCTTATTAGTAAAGTGAATCTTGAATGACTCATAAATTCTTTTCGAGAACAAACAAAATATTTTAAAATGAATCGATTTATATTGATAGAAGTCAGAGTTCGATGAAAATATATCTAAGATTATGAAAAAAAAACATTCTCGAGTGATTTTGCTCCATATTTTGCTAACATGTAGGAGACTGATACAATAGTATAACATGTCAAGATTTTCTATTCTTGCTTAAATTTTGTCGAAATAGCGACTTTTTATTAGAGTCGATACGCAAAATTCAGTTGTCGAAAAAAAGTTATATTTGAGAATTTCGACCTGTAACTTTGTATGTATGGAGATCTTGAGTAGACTATCTCGTACACGTTTTTCATAAGTGGTTGAGGCACGACAAAATTAAAGGCAATATGAAGACATAGAGCAATGTCTAACAATTACATTTCTATATGAGCTTCGAGTACTCAAGTCAGCCTTTCAAATGATATAGATTATTGAATAGCATATTTGCTGATAAAAATAAAATTATAAACATGATAATGTAATGATAAATTTCTCTAATTCAACTTATATGATTTTTTTACAGATTTTCTAATAAAGCGTGTTAAACATATTTATATAAGAAATAACGTAGGTTTGATCAATAAGTATCACTTCACCAGTGAATTCTGATTAGACACATATAAACTACCAAAAAAAGAGGTACACATGTCGATTTCTATTGACTTTTAATTTTTGTTTTTTAATTCAGTTTGATCTGACATTTTTTTCACTTGATATACATTTTGACATTTTCAATATTTTTTCAATATCATGTCTCATTAGTCAGCTCGACCAGACTTAAGAAGGTGATACAAAATTTACTGAGGTCTGGCTAACCGAAAATGTATGAAGAATCTGGAAGAAAAAAGTGCGCGGAGAACAAGTTTTAAGCTTTTAACAGCTGAAAAGTAGATTGAACAATGAATAAAAAAAATAACTTGTAATGTTTGTAAAAAAAAATGATTGATGAAATTCCTAAAAGAGTTAACGAAATGATAAGAAGCGGTGGAAAATAGGATTGTAACAGTTTCAGTTCAAAAGACTTGATCAACTAGATCAGATTGTAAGAACTCAGCTGATATAGAAATGTCATAGTCGTAGAGGAGAACAAATACTTGAGAGTTAAATAAGATTTTTGCGAAATCAATCTAGTTCTTATGTATTTATAAGCTACAGTGTTTTCTCTTTTGTTTTAAATAAAATATCGTACTGCTCGATTTCGAACAATTTATCATTACATTAGCATGTTTATATTTTTATTATTATAGAAGTTTTTCTATTCAACAAATGATTCACATAAAATTCATTTTAAATGAATGTATTAGATAACTATCATTTAATTTTCAATTTTTCTTTATATTAATAAGAACTCAGTGTGGGATTATCGGAGCCATTTAAAAGAAGACTCCTACTAGTTCTCTGATGAATCCGAACAACTTTATGTTTTATTCTTACAATAATGCAAAAAATATCTTGTACAAATTTAATTGATTAGAAGTTTTTCCATGTCAATCAATCTAATTTGAGCAGTTTTTCTATGCTATTGTTAGCAGAAAACGTGATAATGCTCGTACAGATTAAGCAGTCGGAAGAAGTTGCCTGTTAAATGGCTTCGATAACATCATGCTAAATCCTTATTGGAGCTGAAAGAAACTCGCAATTAAGTGCTATTTGCCTGATACGATCACTTTGACCTAATATAAAGTATTAAGCAATCGTTCACATTTAATAATGAGAAATTAACTAGTAATTGCTAATCCTTTTGTTCAATCACAAGGGTTAAATAGCAAATCTTAACTTAATTGTAAATTAAAGTAGATGAGCAATTCCTACAACCAATGATATCGACGTCAATAAATTCAATCATTTCTACGTACAAATTTCTTACTTGTACTTGGATGAAATATGTGTCGTGGAAAGTGACGAGTTATACAAATAAACGATAACAAAAAAAAAATCAAAGAATACTTATATATTTTTTTATTGCGACAAAGAAAACAAATAATAAAGGAAAGAAAGAGGAGGCTTGCTCGTCTCGCATAAGCTGTGTGCATAACTCATCACGTGGATCATCGTTTTTTCATTTTTTATGCGTGATTAGATACAGTACTTTGTCTTAGCTGGACAAAAGTGTCTCTGCAATTTTCAAAATATCTCGAATTCTAGATTTTATCAAACAATATGTTAATTTTTCATACAATCATGAATATAATAATTTCTTAGTTCCATGCAACTGCAGAAAATTTTTTTTTGTTATTTCATGATACATAATTGATTAGAAAAAAAAAGAAATTTATTAAGATTGTTGAAATAAAATATTTTGAACTTTATGAATTTCTAAAAAATGTTGCCATCAGACTTTCCAAAGGAACTAAATTTTTCAGGTCAAAAAATTCCCAACTTTTCTAATATGATTATTACATGCTTCATTTTCACAATGTGTCTTCTATTTTGTCCTTACTCTTTAGTACCTTTTTACTCTTTTGTCCTTGATTTCGTACAGATCGCGATGCTCTTATTTTCTTCTTACGAAATCATTTCTTTCTGATCATGTGATTTGATTTGATTACACTTTCATCTCTTTGTTGTGTTTGCTTTGTCTCTCGTTAATCCTGAATGTGTATGACAATATATATACATGTGTTTTTCTCTACAAGGAATTTATTCCCTTATAGTGATTCTAAACACTCTGTGTCTGTGAAAAAAGGTTAAGTAGCCTTTTTATTTTGTTCTTAATCCTTGATGAACAAGAGATTGTTTTTTGCCTATAATAGTAATGAAATAATAAAAACTGCTTTTGTGTTTAGAATATTTTCTCGAGCTAATTCAATGTGTTCAATTCAACATATACAAAAAGACGAAAAAAAAAGTTGTATGGAAGTTTTGAGTTGTATGCCCTTTATATCAAATGCTGAAAGCATTGACTCACAAACTTAAAATTATTATTTGAAGGTGATGGTAAAATAAAGCTACTACCATAATGATTTCAATCTTGTTGATAGAATTCATCAGTCTGATTTGAAGGATATGAATAATGATGAGACATCTTCTATATTTCTTTGAAAATATGATTTATTTTATATTCAATAGAAAAAATTTTCCAACAATAATTGAAGCATAACAATTTCGTGTGAGTGCAAAAAAAAAGCCATTATCATCTTCTTTTATATTTCTCTCAGTATGTTATTCATTCATAATAACTTTTAAATCAAAACATCACTTCAAAAAAGAAAAAAACACGACAGAAATGCGAAATATTTTCCTGAAGTTGAAAAAAGTTGATCGGTACAAACGTCTAAAATTCATATTGTAAATAAAAATTAATATTCGAGATAATTTAGAAAATACATTAGATTAAAATAGACAATATACTCCACTAATAAACAGATTCAAGTTGATCTATTAAAGTCATCAAGCTATATGTGTTTGCGTCATAATGATTATATTTAAAATAATGATCTCAGATAAAATATAAGAAATCGTATGAATTCTCCACAGATTTATCTTAAAAAAGAAACACAATAAAATTGATTATATTCTATGTGTATCGATGTAATCCGAATTCGACGTATCTCGAAGCTCAGTCGCTCTTTAGATTTTAACTGATCTAATTATCGCGGGTTGTGATATTTAATGTGACGAAAGGATTTTATTGTAGGTGTCAATCAGTATACAGGTGGTATTATATGGATCTAATAGAGTCAGAACAGGACAGAAATAGATAAGTATGAACTCAAAATTTTTTTGAATATAACGATGTTAAATGAATTGAATAAATTGGTACAATATTGATTAAAAATGTTCGCATTTTCGAAATTTAAAAATTTCAAAGAACCTATATCAATTAAAGATATATTATTATAATTTTAATCTCTTAATTGATTTGGTATTCTTTTAAATAAATTATTTTAACGTCTCTGAGAACATAAATGTATAATAGTCCGAGTTTGTGAGTTCTGTATGTTGATCTTTTTTTTGCGTAGTACTAAGAATTTTTATCAAATATGATCAAAAATGTTAACCTATATTATACGATAATAAATGGATGAATACAGTAGATATTTTTTGGTTTTCTTTTCTTGATGAACACTTTTTGGAATGAAAATAAAAAGAGTTTAATCCTATGGTTTTGTTTTATTTTTGGCATACACAAATTGATGCTTGTATTTATTCCATCATTGTACTACTGTGTTTTCTTGTAATTCAATTTTTTAAAATGTTTACAAACAGTATGAAATAATGTTGCTTGGATTCATCAATATTAATGTAGTCTATAGTACCTGAACTCGTACAATTGCTTAGTAGAATATTGATGAAGTAGTCTCGAATACGAGACTCATAAATTTTAAATGCATTTTCATGTTAATCTTTATCATTCATGATTTATAACTTTTGACGAAGTTTTATTGCTTCCTTTTTTTTTTTTGAGATCGCTTAAAAACACAGTGTGGTACATTAGCAAATGATTAAGAAAAGAAACAACCTATTCATTATTTCAAATAAAAAGACAAGAATTCAAATTGCGTGGATATTTTATTCTTATGAAATAATTTCGAACATATATTGTCCTAGAGAAATCATTTCTGTATATTACAGATATTATAGAAGAAATTTTTCTATTCAACTAATAGACAAAAAAAGTCCTTTTTTCCTATTTTATATTATTGAATTCGTATGTTTTTTTAATAATTAAATCTTCAGCTAACATTGGTTGTTTAATAGCACTATCTTTTGGTAACTCTGGTGGTTGTGTTGCTGCTTCTTGTTTCATCACTTGTGAGTCAATAATAACATCTAATTCAGCTGTGTGACGAAATGAAAATCTATTTTTATATAAGATATATGTTGCAAAAACACATATAATAGTAATCATAGTAATTATAATAAAAATAATATAGAAACGATGTTGAGTTTTACTTGATAATATGAAACTGTCATATTTAATTTTATCATAATGATATTCTATATGAATAAAATTAGTTGCTATTGAATAATAAAAACAAATTGTTTCATTATTTAATAATGAATATCTACATGTAAGTTCAGATGAAAATGAAAGATAATATGTATAATTTTGATTAATACTTGGTGCAAGAATAAATGAATTATTATCAAGTTTAATCAAAAGTTTTGGTGTAGATATTATTCGAGGATTTAATTCTATTATTATTTGACCATAATTATCAAAAGCTATTTTGAAAAAATAAAAATTATTAAACAATTAAATAAATTTGTTTTAAATCTTACATACATATACTCATATTCATGAATTGTGTTTTGTCTTTTTCAATTAATACATATGGACAAATAACAATTTGATTTGGATCAAATGATGAATAAATATCAATAGATGAGCCACAAACTATAACTGTTTGAATATTAACTATAGCCATTGAAATATTTAACAAATTACATTGAACAGTTGATATAAGGGATAATGAAAATAAGGATAAAGCATTATAACATAACGTTTTTTTTCTCATTGTATTTGAATTTGTTACACTCAATAAGGATACATTAATCTACGGTCAAATAGAACAAAAAGAAATGAGCGTTTATATGTCGGTGAAATGTATTTATAAGAAAAGAAAAAAAAAGTGAACTGTACATTGTTCCTCAATGAAGTAGTCACTGTGCATTGGTAAAAAATATTTCTCTTACTAAAGTTGAAGAAAGTTCAATTAAATGGCATTTTATTTTAGAAAAAAAAATCAATTACACGTTGAGTTTAAAAATTATTACAAAGAATACAATTCAATTGAAAGTTTTCTTATTATAGTAACGATTAAAAAAGAACTCAATCGATCACCAACGGTTGTTATGACATTATCTTACTTTTGTTAATCAATATGTATAGTGATAAATCTTACATTTTTAATTCAATATCTAGTGTCATCTGTTGACAATAAAATAAAAAAAAAAGTTCTTATACTTTGATCTTTTCTCTTGAAATATACTATTCACTTAGATTTCTTAATTCATATAAATATTGTGTTTTTAATACTTAGATAAGTATATGTTACTAAGCAACAAAGCCACAAATCGCTATTAAAAATAGATAGTCATCCAAAAAGAATTTTAAATTGTTGATCTTTTGCATTATTATCAATGGCAAACACTAGTTTAACTAATAATATTCAACATACAACAGAAAATAGTGAAACTAACAATGATATTAATCAATGGGGTCAAGCTATTTTACGTTCGAAAACATCATTGATTAAACCTTATTCAAAAGTATAAAAATAAAAATTCAAATAAAAAAATAAAATTATTTAATCAATTTTTATTTAATAGTATACTCAAGAAGGTCTTCGTCCACGTTCACCAAATGCACCGTATACAATCTTAACAAAAGAACAAGAATCAAGTATTGATCGTACGGCTAGTCCATTATTTTTTAATAAATCTCGTATTTCAACATCAACTGGAGCATTTCGTCGTTTTCGTCAACGTCAAACAGATTCATTACCCATGAGTCATTTACGTACTGGTGGTGCTGTTGGTGGTGGTACAGAATATACTTATATTACTCCACAAGCATATACATCAAAATTACCTGAAAAATATAATGGTTCTAATGCAGATGGATATCCAAAATGGTATCCAAATCGTGCTGGTGAAAGAACTTTAGCACATTCACAAGAAGGTATACCGATCGAAAGATATGTTTCAATTGATATGTTTCGTCGTCCACCAACAGCACGTTCAGGACAAATTATTTTTGATCATGGACGACCAAATGATGGCTATTATTTACAAAGAAATGAATGTAAGTTGAGAGTTTTAAAAAAAAAAAAGAAAAAAATCTTTTTTTTTCTTTATTATTTAAAGATAATACAACATGGTTTGGTTCAAATATAGAATTAAATCGTCGTCATATATTAGATTCAATTCAACCGAAAACTATTGCTGAATATGCACAAGAAAAAGCTAATCAACAAGATCGTTATCAAAAAGCAAATGTTAAATGGCCTTATTTATCAGAATATGGAGAACAATTTGTACTTGGAACAACAGTTGAACGAAAACATAAAACGGAGTAAGTAGAAAGAAAAAATTCAACCGATCACACCAGGATTCGAACCTGGAATCCCCCGCTCCGTAGGCGGGTGCCTTAACCGTTGGGCCATGCGACCGTTGTAAACAGATGTTCAATTATTTATGTTTATTAGAGAAAAAGATGTTCCATAAGAAAAAAAAAATTAGATGGAAAACATTATTTGTTTTTCCTTCATAGTTAATGACTTTTTTCCTTGTTATTGAACAACGGTAAAAGAAATACTTTCTAAGAAATAATACACAACAAATAATTTCCATCAACGATAACGGTCGTATCGAAAAATTTCAATAGATAGGTGTCAGTCAGAGAGTTTAAAGCTACAACTTTTCATCAATTTATATTACATTTTAAGAATTTCTCAAAAAACGCGACATCTGGATACTGTTCAACGTGACGATAAGTCAAACCACAGTAATCATAATTCAAATGTAGCTTTTTTGATACTTAAATTTTCAATAACAATAAGATTTGCCTCTTAAGTTTCATGGAAAGCCATATTTTTTTTTTTGATAAAAAAGATTTAGAAATATTGATAAAATGTTCTGAATTTCATGCAATCATTCGTAGTGTTAGGATTAATATAAAAACAGGAATTTCAATGCTTGTTTAGAGGAAATAAAGTATAGGTTTAGATGATGCAGACCTTTGAGCTGTCGAGTATGTAAAAGTTCTTTTTTTGTAAGCACGTCTGATGGCCTGAATAATCTAAATATTTTATTGCACTCAAACCAGAAAAGCATTGGAGTTTCATCATATCCAACAGAAAAAACATTACATATTAATCATATTCAGATACACTAAGTGTAATATTATAGTTTCTTTTTTTAGGAAATAAATTGTATTCATTGCCGTTCATCGATAAGGAGAGAGCCATTAATAAGCCGTAAATCTCACCGTTGAGTGCTTATTCAAGGTCTATGATTGTATGCTTTTTTTTGAAGTTGTTCACGAAATGTCTTTGAAAATCAATTTAAATTTTACGCCAAACAATGTTTATCTGTTCATGCTCTCTACGTATTTAATTCACTGGATGTGTCATTTTGCTGTTGAAAGAATTATGTAGTTTTCCTTGGACAAAACTTTTATGAAGCAGTTGATTTAAATCAAACAAAACTTAAGTGAAACGCACACACGCTCTTTTCATCACTAACTGAATTCAAGTTTATTTCGAATTATAGGAGTCATAATAGTTTACTTTAGTTCACGAAAAGCATTGAATAGCCACAGAACTTCTTATAATGATATGTAGATGCTAGTCAGTACTCGAAAACGTTAAATGTTAGTTGTGAAATCATAATTTACAATATCTCTTAGGACTATTAAGTAATTTTGAATATTTCAAGATAACTCTCAGTGATTTGAAATTCATTTTCGTGATCTGTATGAATTTAATAACTTCAAATGAATTTTATCATTCAAATCAACTATCTACTGCTTGACTAGTTTTTATTGGCAAGCAAATAGTTGGCTTTGAAGGCTTCTCTCTGTTTATTTTCGTTGCCGTATTCGGTTGTCAAATCTTAGCTTCATCACCGAACAAGAAACAATGGTATATGCATAGGTGCAAACCGTGCTGGAAATCGCAAGCATTTACGAATATTGCTTTCGATTGCAGACACTGGCAGAAAAATGCATTGATAGTGGAGATAGAAAACGTACTGAAAAAGATTCATCTTCGAGTGAATTCAATCGGGTTCAAAATTTTTTCATATATTTGCAACTTTTGCAATCTTTCAATATTTCATAAAAGTACAGTTTTAGTTACATCCTGTTCCTATAGAATAAGTTTTCCTTCGAAATACAGTTACATTTGACGAGAATGACTTACTAAATTATAGTTTTTAAGGTAGTAGGAAAGCATGGTTTACAAGACATTGTGTGACATCCATGATAGACATAAAGAGTTCAGCAAATTTCATCTTTGGCGAGAGAGAGAACAGCATGTTTGAGGCTTTGAAAAGTACACTACCTACACAAATGTGTTCCTATCTCAAATCATCTATAATTTTAATTAGAAAGAATATAACGTATAAAGTTCGATATGAATATCATGACACAGTTCAACAAGTCGTCAAACGTTGTATTTTTGGTACAAATTCTTTTCATGAACACACGATCGCTGCTAAACAATAAGAATTTTCTTTGGAAAAAAATTAGATAAAAAAATATATCATTAGTATAAAAATGTTCTATACGTCAAGAAGAAAATGAAGTATAGATTAATGAATGAATTTCAATATAAATAATATACTTCCAAATAAATCATGACAACATCTTTTCTTTTTCTATCTTCTTACATAGAAAAAAGAATAAACCGATCACACCAGGATTCGAACCTGGAATCCCCCGCTCCGTAGGCGGGTGCCTTAACCATTGGGCCATGCGACCGTTGTGAAATGTTGATAAATTTTTTGTGTCTATTAGAACATTAGAATTTTCCTAGGAAAATAGATGGAAAAACATGATTTTTTTTTTTCATAATAATTAAAAGCTACACTTTTTTTCGTAATCCATCGTGTAAAAAAAGTATGTTCTAAGCAAAAAAAGAATGGATTAAGAGATTAATAAAACAATTGCCTGAACAATTAGATCAATATATATTTAAAACTTTTGTCAAAACAAATTCAAAAGAAAATATTTTCTATGATATCAAAAGGAAAAAGAATGAACCGATCACACCAGGATTCGAACCTGGAATCCCCCGCTCCGTAGGCGGGTGCCTTAACCATTGGGCCATGCGACCGTTGTTCATCGATGAACATATATTAGAAGTCAATTAAATTTTTTTCAAATCTCTTTCAAAAAAAAACTTGTAAATATTCAATTGTTTATAATCATATTAATCATTAATGTTTATTTGAATATCTAAATAATGATTCATTCCAGAAGAAAAATAATTAAGAAATTTCTTATATGATTTTCCAAAAGATATCTAACATATATTTTTTTTTCTTCATAATATACAATTGAAATAATAAAAGTACTGAAAAAAATTTTAAATAAATCTTAACATAAAAAAACATAGTTTGAATAAATTGTTCAGCACAGAAACATTCTCCGTCATTTAGAAAAATACGCATTAGATCATAATGAAATAATCCCAAAAAAATTTTTTTTCCTAAAAAATTATCTTAAAACTTAAAGAATAAAATAAATCAAATAGAAATCTCTTATACAAAAATTTATCATATAGAAGATTTATCATCATTAATAAAGAAAACAAAAAGAAATGCTTGTTAAACAATGACGTATAAGAAAAAGCAAAAAAAAAGAAAAAGAATAGAAAGAGGAAAAAAAAAACTATTAGACCGATCACACCAGGATTCGAACCTGGAATCCCCCGCTCCGTAGGCGGGTGCCTTAACCATTGGGCCATGCGACCGCTATGCATTGAAATACAAAAAAATGATGTCAATCAGTTTTAGACATAGTCAAAACTATTTGATATTCTTATATAATTTTAGTTTGGAACATGCTAAACAACATATTGGACAAAATCCAACACGTTTTACATCATTACATAATCAATTAGCAGCATCTGCTGTTGCACAAGGACGAACATTAATCAATGATCCATCACTTGTTGTGAAATGCTAAATTAGATTTATATATGATCTTTATAATAGGAATACAAGAAAAACTAAAAGAATTTTATTTGCCTTTTTAATTCGTTTGGAATTTTTTAATTTATAATTAAACTAAGAAAAAGGATTTTCTTTTTTATATTCAATTTTTAACTATTTTTTTTTTAAATAAAATGATATATTGCATATAAAAAATAATCATTTCTATTTTTTTTTTCTAAATCATAAATCAATGTTGATATATATAAATGTTTTACTTTATTGTTAAATAATTTCATTTCAACGTTCATAACTATATAAAATCTTGATCATCTTTCTTCGAAAACATACTTTCTTAAATACCGTTATTACCGAAAGTGAAGTCAAATAATTAATCGCAGTAGGCATGTAGCTTTCGATTGTTAACATAGATTAAATATGATAAACATAAATGTTTGAAAAAAAAAAAGAATACTCAAATTTATTCTATTTTGAAGACTGTCGAATCGCCATAGAAAAATCTGCTCTAGTCATTTAATTAAAAACTAAACAGTAATAGTTTGATGATTTTATTCAATATTAAATTCTTAGTAAAGCATTTATAAATAATAACATTACTCAATATTGATAAAAATGACTAGTTATTATTCTTTCAATTAGGTAAATGATAAATATTATATTTTAAATATCTTATTATTTTTAGGTGTTTAACAAAACTGTCCAATTATATGCTGTACATAAAAAGTAAAATAGCAAGGGAAATATTTTCAACTGGCTACTTGCGGTTTCAATAGTTTCTATTTACCTGTAAATAGTACTTAGTGTTCTGATAAAAACCCGAAACAAGATTTAGGCTTCTATTAATATTTGTCTAAGCTATCAAATTTTGTTATACGTCTTCTTTCTCGAAGTCCTAGGTTTTCGGCAAACTTGTTTTCTGGAATGTTGATCTGAGACTTTGTTCAAAGTTTATGACATTTTCTATGGAAGTTAATCTAGTTGTTTTTTTTCTATTTGCATTAAGTTTCAAATTAAAATCGGAAAAATACAAGTTTTTCGAAAACCTAGGATTTTTCGAAAACATAATTACGTATTAAAAACTCGATAGTTCAGTTATATATGACTTTAGGTTAAAAAAGTATGAAATGAATGTTCTGCATCTCATAAATAAAAAAATACAACAAAGCGAAAATGACTCAATTTATATCATACAGAAATTCAAAGGAATAATAAATATAAATTGATTATTGATGTAAAGCAAAATTATTATTCATACAAAAGACAACAGAAAATAGTCACAATAATTCTATAGCACTTTATCGCAGTAAATGTTTGTAAAAGAGTAATCAATAAATAGTAATGCAGTGAAAATAAACTAATCATATTTATTATTATTTATTAATTCGAGTTGTTCATTCCATCGTACAAAAATAATTGTTCGATTTTTAGAAAGTCATCGACATACTCTACTTAAATTTATATAGTTATGTAGTATATAATAAACATTAATGATATTGATTATTAATTCTTTACGTAGATAGTATCTGGCATTATTATTCATAAGAAATCTAACAGAAAAACATATTTTAATTGATGATCTGCCTGTTGTAACACAATATAATTGACGAAAAAATGTTATTATTAACAAACAAAGCCTTTTAATGATGTTTTCTATACCGAATAAATAGTATTTCGATTTTATTCTATTTGATCAAACATATAAAAGGATTCTTTTCTATGAATGACGGTTGACATAAAAATATTTTGAATTCAACGTATAAATTTTTTCTTCGTGAGCTACATGGATCGATACTCGACAGCATTATTGATCAAAAGAGACGTATATGCTGATGTTTAATAATTTTTACGATATTTTTCTCTTTTTTCATTCTATAGACCATTCTACAATCTTATTATTTAAGTAAATACAATACACTTGTGTGCCGTACCTTGCAAACACAAACAAAGATTGAAACTCTAAACTAAACCAATATTTTCTATAACACAAAAACTGATATTGAAAACAATTCCTATATAACTAGTATTTTATCGAGCATAGCTTCTATGTCGATAGCATGTAAAGAAATAATGAAAGAGAAACGAACTCAAATAATATATACAGTAATCAAACAGTTAAAAGTAAAATACACTAATCAAAGTGTTGGTTCTTTCGCTATATGATGAAAATAGAGATCTCAATGATGAAATTTGTTTCAAAACATCGATACAAAATTCCATTCGTCCACAATTAGCCCTAAAAAATGATGATTGTGAAATGAGACGTGTGTTAGTTCAGTTTACGGATGTGTGTCGCACGACAGGCTTACTCTGTATACCGTCTGGTTTTTTTTCTTAATTATCTCACAAGACAAAATAAAATTTTCACTTCAAACTCGTCATTTTATCGAGCGAATTGAGAACGAATCGAGCTTCGTATCAATGTTGAGACAAAACTGTTCATATGGGAATATGGAACCCTTGTTACAATGTTCGAACGAAGATCGTACAAATCTTCGGTTTTTACAACATTAAGACACGAAATAAAAATTTCCACTGGCATGTCAAGAAAAAATGCATGCTATTGACTTCTGTGCAGTGCTTCACATCATAATAAATAAATTTTATACGGTATCCATTTTTTGATAGAGATGTGACTGTCTCAGAGTGTCTTTTTTTTTATTGAAGACAATAGAATAAGAGAAAAAAACGAACTGAAAATTTGAGAAGTCTTAAAAATTTATTTTCCTATCAAGACATGCATTATTTGACATTAGCATTAATTAAATATGCCAATTGAACATCGAAAAAAAATTCCAGTAAGAAAATGAAACTCATTATCTTTAACTTCTTAGTTTAATTTAGGTATCCATTCTTAAGAAGCATACGTCTATTCATCCATCAAAAAGTCTTGATTTATCAAAAAAACCAAATGTTAATAAGATTTCTAGACATCATTCATTACCAAAA